ATTGTCATTGAACTGCTTCATTGTGTAGATTAAAGGTTTTCATCAGTCTGAGAAAGCTTTCAGCCATTATTTCTTCCAAAAAAATTTTTTTTTGCATGTGTCAAGTGTCATTACATTTGTTGAGTAACTTAGTGGTGTCCTGCACTGTCTGAGACTATTCATTTTTCTTCACTGATTTTTTTTCCTCTCAAGATTATGTGATTATTGCTTGAGTTTGAGCAGAAGCTCCAGCCCCAGGGAGTCCTAATGACTGTGCGCTGTCAGTCCTAGAAAGCCAATCAAAGAGACAGTGGTGAAGGCAGAAAAGGATCTTTATTAACAGTGCTCTTACACTGGCATGGACAAAGGGTTAATGACCTAAAAATCTATCTTCAGACTGCTAACAGAAGTCTTAGTTTGAAGGGAAAGAAAAACAGGCAGGGATCGGGGTTGCATAGTAGTAGGTGATAGCTGACTACTACCTCCCATATGGAGCTATGTTGGTGCCAAAAAGGCTTCTTTCTTAGGGAGCAGTTTTGATTTTTGTCTTAGATATTAAATGTTTCTGTGATCCAAGATAACTGTAACTCGCGGCAAATTCAGAAGGAAGGAAATGAAACAGAATGGATTCAGAAGCAAAATAGAGTTCCCTAGTTCAATGACCTGGCCCTCCTTCAAATCCCCACTGTTGGGCCAAGGAGATGGCTCAGCAAGTAGGTAAAGGCACTTTCTGGCCTGAGTTTTATTCTCCAGGACCCATATGGTAGAAAGAGAGAACTCTTGAAAATTGTCCTCTGACTTTCACATATAACTACAAATAAATTCAAATCTCCACTGTAGGGCTGGAGAGATGATGGCTTAGCAGTTCAGAGCACTTGCTGCCCTTACAGAAGACTCTGGTTCAGTTCCCAGCATCTACATAGCAGCTCACAACTGTCTGTAACTCTAGTTCCTAAGGATCTGATGTCCTGTTCTTCTTTGGGCAGTGTGTGCACATGGTACACATAAATAGGTACAGGCAAAACATCCATACACATAAAATAAAAATAAAAACTTTAAAAAAAAATCCCCACTGCTGGGTGTTGTGGTGCATACCTTTAATCTCAGCAGAGGCAGGCGGGTCTCTGTGAGTTCAAGGCCAGCCTGGTCTACATAGTGAATTCCAGGCCAGCTGCGGCTACAGGGAGACCCTGTCTCAAAAAGAACAACAACAACCACAAAAAATCCCCAGTGTCAAGTTTTATTCCATTTTTGTAGGAGAGAAAGCTGAAGACAGGACCCTACTGTATAATTCTTAAGCTACGGGTTCATTGAATCTTCAATTAAAATCTGCTGTTAACCCTTCTGATAATTTTTTTTGTTTCTGTTGCTACACTTTTTTTTGGGGGGGGGCTCTTTTTTTGAGACAGGGTCTCCCTATAGCCCCAGCTGTCCTGGAACTCACTATGTAGACCAGGCCAGCCTTGAACTCACAGACATCCCCCTGCCTCTGCCTCCCAAGTGCTGGAATTAAAGGTGTGCACCACCACGCCTGGCTGTTGCTACACTTCTTAACCAATTTAATTGTACTTTTATAAAAATTTTATTTTTATAATTTTATTTTTTTAAAGGGTATTACTGTATCTTTGATATTGTCTACTTGATGAGGTAGTATATATTTAACACTTTTTACTTCAAGCATTTAGTTAATTTTTTTAAAAATTTTATTATTTTTATTTTATGTATGTGTATTGTCTGCATGTAGGTAAGTGCACCTGTGTTGTGCAGTGCCCTTGGAGGTCAGAAGAGGCTGTCGGATCCCCTGGGATTGGAGTTACGGACAGTTGTTAGCTGCTATGTGGGTGCTGGGATTGGAACCTGGGTCTTCTGCAAGAACAACCAGTGTTCTTAACTGCTGAGCCATTTCTCCAACCCCTTAAATTTTTTCATTTCAACTCTGAAGTCTTTGTTGAAACTGATATGTAGTCACTGTCTAGTCCTTTCTGTTTGCTGTTTTTCTCTGTGTGGATCATTTCCCTTTGGCCGTCTGGTAACTTTTGGAAACTAGTTATCTTAGATACTGTTATACTGTCACTGCTCTAGGCACCGATCCCACTCTCCCCACACCAGCATCTTGTTATTGTTATTTGCCTATCTGTTTGCTTAGTAACTATCCCAATTCTTTTCCTCCCTTTCTAAGAGTGCTGGGGTTGGAATCTGGGGCCTTGTATATTCTGGACAAGCACTCTACCAGTGAGCCACATCTCCAGAACCAACCAACTTCTTTTAGTAGGGTATTTATTGGTGAGGTCTCTTTCTTCACTGTAGTGGGAAACTGATGTTGTGTTTTAAGAGGGGGAACCCATGGGCAAGTTACCATTACCCTGGATAACTGGGAGTCACCTTAAAGTGGTTTTAAGTGAGCTGTCTCTGGTTCTTTCCCAGCTGTACCAGTTGTATTAAACTCCATTAATTTCTGACTGATTGTTCTTTTGTTCTCAGCCATGTGCCCTGGGACCTGAATTGCTTTCTGATCTTGGACTGGGGTGTGGCTTAGGGGTAGAATATTTCTCTAGCATGCATGAGACCCTGAGTTCATCCCTAGCACCCCTTCATTTCAGTTGGGGCTTCTTTAAAGGTTTCTTTCTTTCCCTTATTCCTTTCTTTTATAAGATTTATTCTATGTGAGTTTTTTGTCTGCACATGTATGTATATATATACATGCATATATATATGTATACATATATATGGATCACATGCATGCCCTGTGTCCTTACTGGCCAGAAGAGGGCATTGAATCCCCTGGAATTGGAGTTACAGGTGTTGTGAGCTGCTGTGATAGTGCTGGGAACCAAACCTGGGTCCTCTACAAGAGCAGCGAGTATTCTTGATGGCTTCCCAGCCCTGCCGGGATAGTTTTTGAGGTTATTGTTAGAAATTTATTCTCAATCCAGGGAGGCTATTCTTAGCTATTGTACTGGTTCTTTCTAGCAGTCTATCTGGCTTTCAGTTGTGTTTATATCCCTCTCTAATCTGTGGGAAGAGATTGAGTACTCACTGTTCTGAGACTGGGTTTGTTCCTACGTAAAATCTCTGCACCTAGGACATAGAAGCACTTCTCTTTGAGTCACTTCACAGCTTTCAGAAAAAGGGGAGGTGAGCTAGCTGTAACCTCTCTCTGCTCTTGACTTATCTCTCTCCTTTCACTTTATGAACAAACAAGGATATGTGGGCCTCAGCACTCTCAGAACACTATTCCCCTGGTCAAGCCTCTGCTCTTATTGTGGGCAGGGTAAAAGAAAGCTGTTATTGCTATACACACTCAGGCTGAGCCTCAGCAGCAGATATCGAGGTCAGGGTGAGAAAAGTAACTATTGCTCTCACTAGTCTAGTATCTTTTCCTTAGTTAACATTTCTTTATCTACTGTCGGTCCTTTGGAGCATTTCCAGAGACTGTTTTTTTTTTTTTTTTCAATTTATTTTTATGTGTCTTGAGTGCCTGCATGAGTGTTATGTACACCATGTGTGTGCTTGGTTCCTAGAAGATGGTGGTGGCTTCCATGGAACTGGAGTTAAAAGTGGTTGTGAGCTACTGCGTGGGTACCAGGAATTGAACCCTGGTTCTCTGCAAGAGCTCAAAACTGCTAAACTATCTCTCCAGCCTAATTTTCAGAGATTTTAAATAGTAGTTTTTTGGTTTTGTTTTTAAATTTTCATCAGTTTAGACTGCTAGGTTAGAAGTCTGTCCACTCTAATTTTCAGGCTCCCAGTTTGTTTGCTTCTTCTAATGTATGTGGTGGGGATGTAGGTTTGAGTATGTGTGCATGTATGTTCCTGTGGTTTGGAGGCCAGAAGACAACCCAGGCATTCCTTAGGCACCATCCCCCTTTTTGGGGTGGGTAGAAGGGGGAAGAGTCAGAGTCTCATTGCCTGGAACCCATGAGTAGGCTTTGCTGGGTAACCAGTGAGTTTCAGGGATCAGCCTGTCTCCACTTTTCCCTGTGCTGGGATTTTATAAGCACATGCTGCCTCATCCAGCTTTTTAAAAATTTTATTTTTTATTTTTGTCTTTTTAAGACAGCGTCTCCCTACAGCCCCAGCTGGCCTGAAACACAGAGATCCACCTGCCTCTGCCTCCTGCCACCACACATGGTGGTGGTGGTGGTTTTTGTGGCTGAGTCTTACATAGCCCTAGAGATGTAGCCCAAGCTGTCTTGGAACTATGTAGATAAGGCTGGGCTTGAACTTGGAGTGATGCTCCTGTTTCTGCTTCTTGAGTGTTGATCACCATGGCTGTTTCCATTTTTATGCTCTCCATTTTGCTCCTAAACAATCTCCTTTTGTGTTAGGGGAAATTTGCTTCTTGTTACCTTTTGAAAAACTACATTTATTGAATGATTGTGTGTATGTGTGCATATATAGAATCAGAACCTTTGGAAGTTCTCTCCATAATGTGGGAACTGGGGACTGAACTCTGGTTGTTATGCTTGGTGGCACATGCCTTTTCCCACAGAGCCATCTTGCCAGCCCTTGTGGTTTTTACATTTCACTTTTAATAGGTTTTTTAATTTGCTCACCTGTATTGTGTGTTTGTGTGTCTCTGGGGACTGAACCTAGGGCTTTGGGAATGATAAATCTGATCTCTAGCCACCTTTACTTTTTGACAGAGGGTCTAAGTTGCCCAGATTGCCTTTGAATTCCTGAATTTGCAGTCTTCTGGTAGCTGGGATTACATGCCTGTGCTACTATATTAAGGCCCAGCACTTAATATAGATATAAGCACATCAGATTTCTGCAATACAACTATAAAGGTAGATCTACACCTGTAGATAAGTATCAATACTGTAAGATGTGGATGAATGGAACATTGCAACAAGATCAGATAAAGCCATAGTTGCATATTTATAGAGAGACTGGACACCCGTGCCCCAGGTGGAGACACTAAGACTCTAGGTCTGGTCCTTGGTGGAGCTGAGCCAGGGGTGGAAGAGCAAGGTTTGCCCCCAGAACAGCCTCTCCAGCCTTATCTGTCCTGCCTATAGCTCATGATGGAGCAGTCTAAGAAGTCCTCTCTCATGGTGGCTCGCAGTATCCTCAACAATAAGCTCATTAGCAAGAAACTGGAGCGCTATCTTAAGGTGAGGTGAGGATGAAGGTGTAATGTCAGTCCTGTGTTTCCTTGCCTGGTCCTTGTCCCCAGACCATCCTTGCCAGTTCTTCCGCCCTTCAAAGTCTGTGCCAATCCCTGTAGGGCGAGAATCCTTTCACCGACAGCCCGGAAGAAGAGAAGGAGCAGGACGAGGTGGAGGGTGCTACTCTGGAGGAGGGAGCACCAGAAATGGCAGGGCTCAGAGAGGACATGCCAGCACAGCCTCCGGTGCCCCAGGAACCCGCCCCCGCGACTGCCACACCGCCGCTGCCGCCGCCGCCACCCCCTGAGGAGGAAGAGGGCGCAGTACCCCTGCTGGGCGGGGCGCTGCAGTGCCAGATTCGTGGCATCCCGGGCCTTGACGTGGAGGACGACGAGGAGGGTGGTGGGGGTGCCCCATAACCCGTACACGGGGTGGACAGGGCTCACATGGCCGAGGCTGAAAGCCCAGTCTAATAAAATTTTTCCCACCCCACCTTGTTCGTGTTGTCTGTGAGTGGTGAGCGTTTCCAGGGAGCCTGGAACGTGCGGGCAGATTGGGTACGCCTGAGCGGGGATGGAAACGCGAGAGCGGCGCGCGTGGACGCGCGGGAAGACGAACCTATGTTCGTGCACACAAGCTTAAGGACCACAACTCCCGAGATGCCGCGGGTACGGATCCTAGCAACCCGGAAGATTAGGTCTGATTAGGTCGCGCTGAAGGCCAGCCAATGGTAATGCACGGAAGTGGTGACGAACAGACTTCATCTTTCAGTAGCAGGCCGTACGTTGAACGCATGCGTCCTGAGGAAAGCTAGGAAAAGGGTCTGGTGGCGGGCCGTGTGAAGACATGGAGCAGGGCTACGGAGGTCAGTACGGCTACTTCCGCGCGCACGGGCCGGGTAAACGCGGCCTCTGCGCGTGGGGTCGGCGGCGGGAGCGTTTCGGAGTGGCTGCCGGAGGCGCGCAGCGCTTATTGGGCCTCGGCACAGTCGCTCCCGGGGCGAGTGCGGATTGGCCTATGGGACCGCAGGGGGCGGATGATGTTCAGAGAGCCGATGCTGTGGCGGGCTTCTGGAGGGGTACCATGGGCCCTTTCCACCATGGTGTCCTGATGGATTCCGGGACGGCCGGGCCCTGATGTTCCTAGCTATCCCTGTCCCGTCTTCTCTTTCGAAGACGGCACAAAATGGCGGAGCCAGGGGCGGAGCCAGAGTGCGCGGGCCTGCGGTGCGGCGTCGGCGGGCTGAGTCACCAAGATCGATTTCCGACTTGCGGTGCCTAACTGGGCTCTCCCGGAAGCCGCCCGTGCCTCGCGGGCTCTACCTTGAGGTGCGGCCAGAGGCCGCTCGATTGGTGCCTGGCGTGTGCTGCGGGTGCGAGCCGGACACCTCCAAGAACCAGATATTTGTGAGGGGCAAATGCTGCCGTGTCTTGTGCAAAACCTGATACGCCCGGACCAGGATCACATGTTATCTATGTTCCTCAAGTCTCTCTTAAGGTGGCCTGGAGGAGCCAAGGGGCTACGTAGGCAGGAGCGTAACTTTCCCTGACCTAGCTTTTAGCGGCTTGTGATTAGGTCTCATTTGTAGAGCTACTTGATCTCACTCTCTGGACAGTTGGAACACAGGCCGGGGGTCGACCTGGCACGGAGGAACTGGCTTAGTGGTTAGATAATGCTTGCGGCCGCTAGAGAAGTCAGAGATCTTGAGAGGCAGTAGTAATCTATACCCTTGGAACTGGAATTGCAGAGAGGCCTGAGATGGGACCAAGCACGTGTGCTTCAGGGTGGGTCCTAATGGATAACCTGGCGCTCTTGACCTTTCAAAGCCTAGCCAGTTCTTCCACTCTTTGCCTTTCTCATCAGATATTCTGTCACAATCCTGTTTCATGCCCTTAGTTTAGCGAACCTCCCAGGGACCCCCAGTTTTTACCTGCCAAAATCTTCCAGACTTTGCAGCCTTTCTGAATTCATCTCGTGGAGTATTTGAGGCCAATTGAATAGACTTGTGCCTCACAGAGACAGTCTCTGCCCAGAAGTGGTTTGCTTGATTTTTAGAATTCAAATTCTAAAGCTGAAGGATGCTTGGTTAGTAAGGGTGGGGCAAGGATGTGAATCCGTTACCTGCAGAGGTAAGCAGTAGGCAAAACTCTGCTGCAGGACAGTGAATAAGTCACCTAACTTAGGAGCAGAGCTCGCTGCTCTGAAATATTGGCTGAGTGCCTGCCTATTCTGTCAGCACACAGTAGAGACTGTTGGTGGGTGAGGGTTGTTGTAGAAAGAGATAAGGTATATATACTTGCTTCATTGAAGTGAAACCATTTAACAAACAGGTGCTGTGTCCAGCTATGTATTGGGTTATAGGGACACAAATGAAGAGAGATGAATTTCTACCTTCCCATCCAGCGGGGCCACATAGAAGATATTGTTTGAGTGGCTCAGGCAAGGAACACAGTGATGCCTGGGGGTCAGACTGAGGGTCTAGGACTTGAGTGTTTCAAGTTACATGGAAGCAAATCTCAGTTTATGTCAATGAATTCCTAGATTTGTTCCCAGTTATATGGCCTTATAGCAATCTGAACTTGTTTCCCACATGTCCTAGTGCTTGAAGTTGGTCCTGTAACCTTTACTCGTTTTTCAGCTTTGACTTTAGATCATCCAGATGAAAAGTGTGGTGATGGGGGGGGGGATGGTGCACTACCTTATATTGCCTCTTTGTAAGACTGGCGCTTCTGTGAAGGGAAATCCTTTTAGACTCAGAACCCCCGTTCTCTTGGTGATGGCTGGAACCTTAACATGGTGTCTTTTCACAGGCTATGGGGCATGGAGTGCAGGACCTGCCAACACCCAGGGTAAGTAGATTCTGGGTGCCTCAAGATGGCAAAGCCAAACATTTTCTGCCTTTAATTGGGAAGGAAGCATAGTTTATTGAGTACTGTAAGGGAGCAGAAGCTGGCTAGTGAAGAGAGTACAGGTTATATCTTCTTTCCTCCAGTTTCTTTTAAAAAGTCTGGCAAGAGGCTGGGAATTGATACTTAGGAGGCAGAAGACAAGTGAACTCTCTTGAGTTCAAGGTCTGCTGATCTACATAGTGTGTTCCAGGTCAGCCAAGGCTGCATAGTGAGACCCTGTCGCAAAAACAAAACTAAAAGTCTTGCTGGGAGCTCAGTAGCAAATTGCATACTTTTTAAAAAATTACTGTTTTTATTTTATGTGTATAAGTGTATTGCCTGCATGAATGTAGGTGTACCCATGTCATACAGTGCCCACAAAGGTTAGAAGAGGGTGTCTGATCCCCTAGAACTGGAGTTACAGATAGTTAGCTACCATATGGGCCCTGGGAACTGAACCTAGGTCCCCTGCAAGAGCAGGCAGTGTTCTTAATCACTGAGCCATCTTTCTAGCCCTGTAGTGTGCCAAGATTCACCTTGAATCCTATTAGTCTGTATATACAAATTGTTCATTTTGTGTTGTATTTGGTATTACAGAATGTTTTAGTTTTGAAGTGCTTTTCCTGTGATCGTTTAGAAATATAAAACCTATTAGCTTGAGACCTCTACAAAAACAGGCAGTGGGTTAAATGTGGTGTAGGCCTTTTGCTCACTTTTGTTTGCTGAACCTAGAACCTGGTCCTACTCTTGGGCCCCATTCCACAGGACAAAAGTTTTCTTCACTTTCCAATCCTGGGACATGCCTCTAGCACCATTGGAGGCAGGGTCACTTTTCTGTATATTACCCTGTTTTCCAGGAGGTGTCAAGGACACCCATGGCACATAATGCTCTTGCTCAGTTGAGGACATGATTTTCCTTTCCGCTGATGTCCCATTGATGTGATTGGCAGGGTTTTGGCTCCTGGTGAGAATTGAGCCTGTATAAGGATCTCTCTAGGGCCTTGGCCAAACTGGCCTCTTGGTTGTCCATTGTAGTGTAGACCAACATCCTGGGAACTGTGCAGCTTTTTTTCCCTGGCTCTTAAGGGAAAAGTCGGGCCTGCCTGGGAGAGAATCCCTGATAATGCTCTGTGCCCATTCTGTAGAACATTGTCTTGCCAAGGACCACTGCCACAGCTATCACAGCTGGGCTCTGGTGGAGGGGGTGACAATTATCCTTCAGGGAAGTGGTCTCTTGACATTCTGCCAATAAAGCTTGTACATTTTTGTTTCCCCTAAGGTACATATGGAAGCAGTATGGCCAGTTGGCAAGGTAAGCCCTTCTGAAAGGGGTCTCCAGGTAGGTAAACAGGGCTCTGAGCAGATACCCAGAGGGGCTGAGGTACAGGTCTCCCATCCTGGCTTTGGACACAACTCTGATGTGGACCAGGAGGATGAAGGCTGCTGTTCTGGACATAGGTGTTGAGGCTTGTCAGAGTTGGGACTGCCTTAAGGGATTACAGGGGCAACAGCTTTCAAGTGACTTTGTCAACACCTTGAACTGCTATTCCTAGGCTCTTATCTACTGGCTTTGATTAGGGAACAAGTCTTGGTGGTGGTGTCTGTTCCCAAAAACCTGCTGTTCCAAGCTGTGGCCTCTTCTCTCTCTGGCCTCAAGCAGCCTCCTGGCAGGTTATGTGCACAGTGTAGAGTGATTCCACTGGCATTTGGTCCCATACCTTTTTTTCTTCTTGGTGGGCAGAGAGCACCTGCAAATATGGATGCCATGGATAGTCTTCTGTGCTTAGGTCTGACATGGTTCTTCCAACAGGTTACGACAACTACAACTACTACAGTACCCAGCACACCAGTGTTTCTGCAGGAGCGTCCTATAGCTACGGCCCAGCCTCATGGGAGGCCACCAAGGCCAGTGATGGTGGCCTTGCAGCTGGGGGCTCTGCCATGCACATGGCCTCTTTTGGCCCAGAGCCAATCACCGACAGCTCCGACTCACTCATTGCCAAGATCAACCAGCGTTTGGATATGTTGTCCAAGGAAGGAGGCAGGGGTGGGAACCCCAGCAGTGGGGAGGGCATGCAGGACCGGGAGAGGTGATTATGGCCCTGAGCCCTTTCTAGGGGATACTTATCTGACATCATGGAGTTAGGAATGGGTACCTGCTCTTTTAGGGAGCCCTCTTCCCCTCCTCTCCTGTGTGGTAGACGTGAGTTGGGCCCGTGGGGAGGACAACACTGCACCGGACTTCATTGAAGTCCTGTTGGGTAATTGAATTAATCCCAGATACCTTCATCTGGCAAGGGCTTCATGTTCTTACTTTGTTAGCAATGTTGGGATGAGGGTCTTAGTCATTTTGCCTTCTGGGCATAGAGGGTGGTTTGATTTCCTGCTCTGAATATCAGGACAACTTAGAGGAAGGCTTACTGAGAGGCTTAGCAAGTCCCCTTGGCTGCTCCTAACAGGCTCTCCTTACTTTGCAGCTCCTTCCGCTTCCAACCATATGAGTCCTACGACTCCAGGCCTTGCTTACCTGAGCATAATCCCTACCGTCCAAGCTACAGCTATGACTATGACTTCAACTTGGGAACTGACCGGAATGGTAGCTTTGGTGGGACATATAGTGATTGTCGGGACCCAGCCCGTGAACGTGGCTCCATTGATGGCTTCATGAGGGGCCGAGGCCAGGGCCAGGGTCGCTTCCAAGATCGGAGCAACTCCAGCACCTTCATGCGTAGTGACCCCTTCATGCCACCCTCAGCCTCCTCTGAGCCCCTATCCACTTCTTGGAATGAGTTGAACTACATGGGTGGACGTGGTCTAGGTGGGCCCTCCACCAGCAGGCCACCTACATCCCTCTACTCCCAGTCCATGGCCCCTGACTATGGCATGATGGGCATGCAGGGGGTGGGTGGTTATGGTAACACCATGCCTTACGGATGTGGCCGGTCCCAGACTCGGATACGGGATTGGGTAAGCATTGACCAAGTTCTGTTAGGTTGTCTTGCTTTTTTTTCCTACAGCTTGAGGTAAAAATTGTATGATACAAAATTTCCTCGATTTCCAGTATACAATTCCACCTTGTGTATGTTTGCATCATCTGGTTTTAGAATATTTCTACCTGCTCATTGGCCTGCTCTGGACATTTCATCAGAATCATATGACATGTGACTTTGTGTCTGGCTCCTTCAAGCACGACACTGGCTTTGAGTTTCAACTGTAGTATCTCTCCGTGTTTGAAAAGACTTTCATTTTTTTAGCTCTATTCTTAAAAACTTTGATCTTTGGCTTTGGGGCATCTTAAGGCCCATGTTAACGGTGTATGGGATGTGCTTGTATCCACAGCCCAGGAGGAGAGGGTTTGAGCGCTTTGGACCAGATAACATGGGCAGGAAGAGGAAGCAGTTTCCCTTGTATGAAGAGCCGGATGCCAAACTGGCCCGAGCTGACAGCGAAGGAGACTTATCTGAAAATGGTAGGCCCCGCGGGCCGCTGAGCCACGTGGGTCTAAGAAGTCAGTTGGCTGCCCAGATCTTGAGGTGGCATGTGTCACTGATACTGTGCTGTCTTAGCCCCTGCTGTCCCTGGTCAGTGGGCTTGGGATCATAAAAGTGGAGTGGGACCACCCATCCAGGGGCTTACACATCCTGTTCCCTGTTTCTGGCAGATGATGGAGTTGGTGACTTCCGGTCAGGAGATGAAGAATTCAGGGGGGTAAGATCAACTTTATGGGTCACCTCTTTGTTTCTGGGGGTTTCTTTTTTCCTTTATCTTCCTCACAGAAGTGGGAACAGCTGTTTGGTAGATTAGCTACCTACCTCTGGCTGCACCCTGATCTGTACTTAGGTTTTCCAACTGCAGCAACCATTTTTTTCTAAAATAAAGCTCCCAAACTCTCCTTGTCTTAAAGTGTTGAATCTAGCCACTAAGCCTTCTGAATACAGGGGCTGTGCAGGCTGAGGCTGACACTGGAGGCCTATTGATTGGCTGGGTGTGGCTCACCTGTCTGCATCCTGTTTTCCCGATAACCAGTCCCAGGAGTGGCACACACCTAAGGCCAGTTTTGAGGACCACAACACATTCCTGAGGAGGGTTCTTTAAGACCCTAAACAAAGCCTTTTTCTAATCAGTGCTTCCTAACCTACAGAGAGCGATCTCTTGGTGTTCTGTGATACAGAACTGTGTGGGTATGCCTTTATCAGAGGGCAAATTCTATAGCTTTAGAGAACATTGAAAGAGGGTCAATGACTTGGAAAAGTTACCCTCATAGGCTTTTTTTTAAAGATAATTATTATTTTCATTTATGTGTATATTGCCTGCATGTGTTTAAGTGCAGCCGTGTCATACAGTGCCCACAGAAGTGAGAAGAGGGCATTGGATTCCCCTGGAACTGGAGTTATGGACAGTTGTTTGCTGTCATGTGGATGCTGGGATTTGAACCTGGGTCCTCTGCAAGAGCAGCCAGTGCTCTTAACCACTAAGCCATCTCTCTAGCCCCCAAGATACTTAAAGAATAAAATACACTGCTTATACTTATTTTTTTAAAAACTACCATGTATAGAAATATTTAAACAATGAAAAACAATTTAAAATTCAGAGTTTTTAGTAAGGTAAGTGCCCCTTGTGGATTCACATATGGACACTTCCCACTTAAGGACTTATTATACACTGAAAATGTGGTACACCGTGAGAAAGCATTCAGGGGACTTACATGAAATATATATGTGAACTCATTAGTATGCCTTTTTTATTTTTATTATTATCTTGTTCTCCTTTCTAAATGTTGTAGTATACCCATATGTGCATTTGGTTACATGTTATGTGTGTACATTATAGAGTAGGATCCGCATATGAAGGAGAACATAGTTTTTTTTTCCTTTGTGAGAATGGATGACCTTGCTTAGTATTATATATTATATTGAAAATCTATTACAATGAAAATATGGTACATATATAAAATAGAATATTTTTCCACTCTAAAGAAAAATGAAATTAAAAAAAATTCTCAGGAAAATGGACGGACTTGGAATGTATGTTAGGCCCATAATTTTTTTTTTTTATGGCAGCTAACAGTAACGAGACACTTGGGCTCTACTCCATGGCCCTGAGGTTTGTCTTGATACCTCATTTCCTGGTAGCATAGCAAGCCAGGGTTTAGAATGAGACTACTTATGTAGTAGGGGGTTTGGGCTGGTTGTCGGGGAGAATTCTAGAACTACCTCCTCACTGTCTGATGTTGCATGTGCCCTTTTTTAGGAGGATGAATTCTGTGACTTTGGGAAACAGAGAGGTAGGTGTCACTCAGTGTCCCTTGCTGCTTTCCTGTGTCTAACCCACACTCACTGCCCACCTCCCAGCCAGGCTGAGCTTGTAAGCAAAACAGAGGCCTGCATGGAGGGTCCCATGGCTCACGGTGGAGAGACTGCAGCTGCCCAGTGGGCCTAAGTTGTGGGAACTACCCCAAAGCTTTTCCAGAGTGTTTGGGGCAAGATTTGCTTGAAAGGAATTGATTGGCTTCCTATAGGCTTTAGAAGTCTGAAGAACCCATCTCTGGGTACCTGATAGCCAAGGGTAGGAAAGGGAATTTCAGAAAACTGAAGAGAAAGAGGCTCTACTGGTTGGCTCATCCCTCCAGCCCCACCCCCCCTTAATTTTTTTCTCAGTTGCCGGCATTAGGCTGTGCCTCTGGCCTTTGCCATAAATATTGGCAGCTGCAGTGACTGTGGACAGAGCAGGTACCTGCTATGGCTGGGAATGAGGTAGTGAGAGGATGGCCTGTAAGGTGTACCCAGGCCCAGATCTTGAAGCAGTTATCACTAAGCAAGTTTTGTCAGTTCCAGGACAGCACACCCAAAAACCCAAAGTAAGTAGTGGAAACAAAACAAGATCATAACCCTAGGAGGACCTAGCTGCCATTTGTTTACCCTCAAAGATCACAGGCTGGTCCTGCTCCTATAATGTGAAGGCCCTTGATTCTCCTAAGGTTCTCAGACTAAGCTGACCATCAGATGTCCCCCACCCCACACATTAAAGCAGTTTTGTTCACAGCACAGGATCACCCCAAGCATTCATGCAGCCGGGTAAATGCTAAAGCAAAGGTGACATGTTTGTTGCGCACAGGTCCTGCTACCCAACCGGGATGACTTTGCTATTAAACAGCAGTCATAGTTTCAGGCAGTGACCTCTTGCCAAAAGTCCCACACATCCTTTTGAGAGGCTTCTGAGCAGCGCACGCCGGTCGCCATCTTCGTGGGACAGTCTCGGGACTGGCATCAGGGGTAGGGGTTAACAGTTCAGATGCTTATCCAACCTTTTTTCAGCATCCAGCCCTGGCCCTGAGCCTGGGGATTTGCCTGGCCTCATGCTGAGACGCTGACCACATGGCTCTCCATGGAGCTGCGCCAGCCCCAGGGGATGAATGGGAGGACCAGTTGGTCTCTTGCCATTTTTTTTTGTTTCTAGGATTGCTTCCTATGAAGCCCAGGGTTGTTGGTTTTTGTGAGTAGAAGATAGAGCTTGGGCCAGCAAGGACTACCAGACCTGCTGAGACCCTAGTTCAGATGAGGCCAAAAGGATGGTCATTAGAGCCCACCTAGAGGTGGGATGGAGGGCGGTAGAGCAGTTTGTTTTATTTATTGAGGCCTTCCAAGTGCTGCCTCTGTGGGGAGATTTTTCTCCTTAAAATGACATGGGAGAAGACCCAGTGACAGGGTGCCAGATTGAACATGACAGAGTAGTAGTTGGGCCATGAGTGGGATGGGCCTGTCCGTCAGGCCATGGGAGGAGTAAGGTGACTCCTCTGGGCTCTTATCAAAGGTCCTGGTACATGAGGAACCTTTACCAGCTCCTTAGTGCCTTGGGGTATCCCGGCCCTGCCACAGAGGTGGAAGCTGGGCACGAGGTGTGGCTTCAAGCTGTAGCATCCAACTGGGCCCTGGAGCTGAGCTCTCCTGCAGGCTACTCAGCGTCTCGAAGGGACTTCTCTGTTACAGGCGAAAAGGAGGATGAGGATGAGGATGTGAAGAAGAGACGGGAGAAGCAAAGGAGGAGAGACAGGATGCGGGACCGAGCAGCTGACAGGTGAGCCAGTGGGTCAGGCAGAGAACTGGGTAAAGATCTCCACTGAAGGCATCTGGATCCAGACAGTGTCTAAGCACTCCCAATATGTCTTCCCTCTAGTTTGATACAGCTGCAGGTGTTAAGAAATCTTAGGTTGGGGACTAAGTTGAGTGTGTAGAAAATGGGTATAATTAACAAGCATCTACCTCTGACCAGTCTCTCCTCACCCTTGGAATTATAACTGTGTGAACCATATACATGACCAGCAGGGGGCTCTCTTGCCCTCCAACAGGTCCAAGGGGTATTTGGTCTTATGCACTGACTTGGCCCTTAGCATCCCAGAAAGTGACTTTCATTCAGCAGAGCCTACAAGAGGGTCCCTCGGTTCTTTGTCCAAATCCAGACCATCTCTGGAGTTTAACAGAGAAAATACATGCATATGTGGTCCTGCCATCCAGATTTTGTCTCAAAGTAGAATAAGAATGCTAAAATGTCAGGCCCAGAGGGTACTGCTGTAATTACATTGTGGGCCTGTCCATCATGGTTCAATGATTGACTTCTGAATAAAAACCAGAGTCACCAATGACCACATGAGGATCTATTTATTGTTTGTCATTATCATTCAGGTTGTCCTCTGACTTCCACACAAGACATGTGTTGCCCTCACCAAATAAATAAATGTAGTTTTTTAAAAAACCAACAACTTGATTTTGGCTGGGGAGATGGCTCTGTAGGTAAAAGTGCAAGAGTACTTGCTGTGCAGGCATAAAGACCTGAATCCAAGTTTCTGATACTCAGTGAAAAGCCAAGCATAGCCATCAGATCTACACTGTGAGAGGAGGAGACTGGAGGACACTGGGGCTTAGTGGTTGTCAGTTCAGCCTAGCTCCAGGTTTAGTGAGAGACCCTGTCTTGTGGGAATAAGGTAAAGAGTGATAGAGCAAGAGCTCGGTATCTTCTTCTTCTCTCCTGGGTGTGTCAACCTGCAAGCACCTACCACACATAGACACACCCCTTGATTTTCTAAATGATGAGAGGGTTTGGGTCTGTTTTCATGACACAGGGTGTGATGACATTTTGTAGTGCAAGGGATAGAACTCAGTGCCTTAAAGTGCCAGGTAAGTGCTATACTACTGAGCTACATCTGTGGCCTTAGGCCCTTTTTTTGAAGAAATTTTTTGTCTTCATACTACTGACCAAGGATTTCAAAGGAACTTCAAGAGTGTTAGGGGAGAACTGAGATGGAACAGTGAAATGTCAGTTCTCCATATCTTTAGTAGTTTCTCAGCAGGTCTGCCTATGCATGGGACCCATAAGGGCCCCTCCTTTCCTCTTGGAGCCTCTACAAAGTAGAGTCTACAGTGCTTGTCAGTGAAATGGAGCCTGGAGCATCCACAGGTCTAAAAACTAATCAACTTAGGATGTTCTTTAGGGAGCTTTGGTCCAGAGCAGTTGATATGTTGCTGATAGAATTATTTTCCTAAAACGCTTGCAAGGCTGTAATCCCACCTTTCAGACAAGGAAGTTTGAGTAAGTACTGTTTCCTGGCTGGGTGTCATGGCTCAGCACTTGAGAGGCTGAGATAGGACAGGACTTGTGAAACAATCAACAGAATCCTTTTTCCTTTTGCATCTCAGCTCTATCCAGAAATGAGCTGGTGATCTCTACATCACCACTGTTTTCTGTGCTTCCTCTCTAGGATTCAGTTTGCCTGCTCTGTATGCAAGTTTCGTAGTTTTGAAGATGAAGAAATCCAAAAGCATCTGCAAAGCAAATTTCATAAAGAGACACTGCGGTTTATAAGTACCAAACTTCCTGACAAGACAGTGGAGTTCCTCCAGGTATGCTACAGTGTTTGTAGACTGCACTGTAGGTGTTAGGATCCTTTCAGAGGGGGAAAGGGAATAAGAGGTCTAAACACCATCCTTTAATTTTCCCTTCCCAATTAAAGCAAATGTACATGTTTCTGTGCCATGGAGGGATGACAGCTCTGACCACAACAGGTTACTCATGAGGCGCATATGCTCCAATAGCATATTCTCACCCTCTGCAATTGCGAAGTGTCTGTCATCTTATTTGGTGGCATCTCCCGATCCTTCTAGGAGTACATCATAAACAGGAATAAGAAAATTGAGAAGCGGCGTCAGGAATTGATGGAGAAGGAAAGCCCCAAACCCAAACCAGATCCATTCAAAGGTGAGTTGTGATCCCAAGGTGCAGGTTATTCTGGGTTCTTTTAAGGCATAGAACCTGACCTAGTGCAGGGGCTTATATAGCTTTGTGAGAGTGTTTACGTAGCATGCATGAGGCCTGGGCTTGTTTCCCCACATCATAGAAGACAACAGTACAAAGCTAGCCTAGGGCTGCTAAGAAAAAGCTAAGTCCCTGGAAGAAGCACTTAGCAGTAGGAAGAAGCCCTTTGTGTGACCCAGTGGAGATCACATTTCCACGGTAGCTTATAGTGATGTGAAGAAACCTGACAGTTCTCCCCCTTGGTCTTAGGAGAATTGGAAGAATGAGGAAAATGGACACAATATTCCTATCAATAGAGGCCTGCTGTCCTATAGGAGGGGCAAGCTGTACCTGTCTCACACTCTGTCTTTCTGTAGAGGAAGGCATCACTTTTTGTTCCATCACAGGGATTGGCCAGGAGCATTTCTTCAAGAAGATTGAAGCTGCACACTGTCTGGCCTGTGACATGCTGATTCCCGCACAACACCAGCTCCTGCAGAGGCATCTACACTCTGTAGACCACAACCACAACCGTAGGGTGAGTCTGCTTCTAATGCAGGCTGCCAACTGGGTGATGTCATGGCCTCACATCTGTATGGGGTTTTGAATCAGTCCTGTCATCATACTCTGACCTTCATCCTGGATTAAAAGGGGGCTAGATATGGTGGCATTATCTTTATTCCCATCTCTTTGGAGGCGGAGGTGAGAGGCTCCCTTCAGCCCAGGAATATGAGGCTAGATTGGGCGACAACATGCCAAGACCATAAACTCACTGTGTAGACTAAGCTAGCCTTATTCTCATAAAGCTCCATCTGACTCCAGAGTGCTAGGATTAAAGGCATGAGCCACCACACCTGGCCTGCCTCTCCCCCTCTTTTTTAAACTGTTACTTAGAATGAACAATAGCTGAACTCCTTATATGAGAATGTTTCCTATAAATGACATATACGTTTCCCAGCTGCTGAAAACTGGGTTTCTATAAGGTGAGGCCAAGGGCCATTCAGAGCTCAGTAGCCTGAGCAACCTGGGTTTTAGGGCTGTTTGGTCCTTCCTTGTTGATGGGGCTGAGGTTAAAAAGTTTAACCCAGGGGGACAGCGAGGCTTTTTGTTTATTTTTATACGTGTATGAGTGTTATGCCTGCATGTGTGCAAGTACACCCATGTCATGTCCACAGAGGACAGAAGAGGTATTGAATCCCCTGGTACTGGAGGTTACAGACAGTTATTAGTCGCCATGTGGGTGCTGGGATTTGAACCTGCATCCTCTGCAAGAACAACCAGTGGTCTTAACCACTGAGCCATCTCTTCAGCCCAGTTTAATTTTTATAAGCATAAATATAAATATAATTAGCCATAGTTACCTCTTGAGTTCATAGGTTGAACCAAGTAGGGATTCAGAAGATTTGCAGGAGAATTGCAACTGTACTACTGAACATGTCCATACTTTCTTGTTAATATTCCTAACCAATACCTTGTAGCAACTTTATACAGCATTTAAGTTAGATTTAGAAGTCATCAAAATATAGGGCGGATGTGGGTGGGCTCTGTGCAAATACCATGCCATTTTTATAGAGACTTGAGTGTCCTTAGACTTCTGAAAGGGCCATGGAGTTAGTCCCCTGTAGATACAGTTGGCGCTTCAGGCTATGTGATCTGTGTGTTCTGTGACACACCTGGTTTTGATACATAGAAGCAGCCACAGATGATAAAGAGTGGGTGTGGCTACCTTTGGTTTGCAGGCTGCAGCTTGCAGGCCCTTAGGTTAGCATGGAGATAACCGCTGTCTTTATGGAGATAGCAATAACTGCCCAACAGTCTCATAGTGCTTTCAAAGATCAGCAGAAAAATAGGAGATCAGTATTATTAGTAGGCAAAACCTAGAATCATCAAATGATCCATGAACTTTTTGATTTTTGCTTCTAGACTTAATGTGAAGTATTGGTATAACCAAGGAATTTAAAAGGTTTGCCTCTTTCTCCTACTCAGTCCACAGCTTATCTGTAAATGCTTGCTCTTCTGCCTTCTTTCTATGTATTACTTCTTTCTACATGGGCATCAGTGTCAGGTCTCTGATTTTAGCTTAAGATGACCTAACTTTTCCACTTAGCTCCCTGTATTTGTTCTAAGGCTTTCTGGTACCTTCTTTCATACATGGGGCCTAGTGTTTTGAAACTTTCTTCCTGAATAAAGAAGGGTGGTAGTTGCATGTCAGGATAACTCGGCATACTGTCCTAGTTTTATTTCTGCTGCTTTAGTGAAATACCTTGACCAAAAGCCACATAGGGAAGAAAGGGTTTATTTTAGCTCACAATTCCAGATTATGGTCCATCATTTCCAGAAAGTCAAGGAAGAACCTGGAGCAACTACTTAACATCCACAATCAAGAGGAGAGAAAGAATGACTGATACATGCATGCTTAGCCCCTGGCTAGCTTTATATAGTCCAGGACCCCAAACCTGGGAATGGTGCCATCCATTGTCAGACATCAGTTAAGGCATTAAAGACAATTCTGCCATCAAATTTGCCTAGAGGCTGACCTAATCTAGACAGTTTGTCATTTGGGATTCTCTTCCCAGGTGATTTGAGGTTGTATGATGCTGACGGTTGAACTAACCACCACACATACTTGTTCTCTGGTTTCTCTTGGCCAGTTTTAAAGATCCCATCTTTGGTTACCTTTGCAGTTGGCTGCTGAACAGTTCAAGAAAACAAGTCTCCATGTGGCTAAAAGTGTTTTAAACAACAGACATATAGTGAAGATGCTGGAAAAATACCTTAAGGTTTGTACTTCAGAATCAATGGGCAAGAAAAGCCTTTGAGAAAGAGGATGAGTTTGGAGTGTAGCCAGAGTACAGTGTTCAGCATTTCTGGATTTTGAGAAATTAAGAGACATTTTGACAAATGGAGGGTTACATCTATGGCGACAGGGGAACCTCTTAAAGCTTGAACTGTATTTGGCCTGTGAACTTGGACTGTGCTGCTTAGTGGATCACTATGTCACACTACTGACACCATAAAAATAACCTTGATTATCTAGCCGTAAAGTACTGGGCAAAGGCTGGTGATGTGCTTTTTAGAACTCATCCAAGCTGGGTATAGTAGCACATGCCTGTAGTCCCAACTATTCTGGAGCTGTTCAGTTCAGCCCAGGAGATTTGAGGTCAGCATGGGAACATATTGAGATTATCTCATAACAGTCAAATGAAAAGTACAAAAGAAGGCTGGTGGTAGTGGCACATGCCTGTACTATAACAACTAGGAGAGACAGAGGTAGAAGGAGTGTTTTGAGTTTGAGGCCAACCAGGGCATATAGTGAGCAGTCTCAAAAAGAAGTACAAAACAGAGTTTATGGGTACACTCAGTGGTACAGCACATACTTAGCATGTGTGATGACTTGGATTTAATCCCTAAGACCTCTTCCCCCACAAAAACGTACAAGACAGTTTTGGGGGTGGTTTTTGTTTGTTTGTTTTTTCGGTCTTTTTGAGACAGGGTCTCCCTGTAGGCCCAGCTGTCCTGAAACTCACTATGTAGACCAGGCTGGCCTTGAACTCACAGAAATCCACCTGCCTCTGCTGAGATGAAAGGAGTGCACCACCATGCCTGGCCTACAGAGGCTGAGAGGTTAACTCTGCTGCTACTGTAGTTTGCTGCTTTTACAGACTCTTCTTCATTCCTAAAAACATGAGCTCCTTATAATCTAGACCTCTGTCAGGCTGTGGTTTGGGGCACTGATCTGTGTTTCCTTTGTCCAGGGTGAGGACCCTTTTGCCAATGAATCTGTTGATACTGAGATGGAAGGAGATGACAATTTAGGAGGAAAAGAGAAGGAAGAGACACCAGAGGAAGTGGCTGCAGAGGTCTTAGCAGAGGTGATTACAGCAGCAGTGAGGGCTGTAGAAGGGGAAGGAGAGCCAACTACAGGAGTTCTGACTGAAGTGAAAGGCCCTGTGGACACACTGGAGGCCAGTAGTGACCCCCACGCCAAACAGCCACTGGAAGAACAGACCTTTGCAACAGCATCTGAGAATGGGAACACTGAAGACAAGGCCAGAAGTGAGGCTGCTAAGGCTGGAAGTCAGGCAGTTGTGTCAGCAGCAGAGGTAGAAAACACAGCTGTTGCTGCTATCCCAGGTATCATGGAAGCCGAAGTGGGACAAACTGATGGAGAGTCCAAAGATGTTCCCACAGAATAAAACCCCCAGCATTTCAAGGCATGTGCATTCTCTCTTCGGTTTATAAGCAGTACTAGGTTATATGTAATTTGGCGAAGAGACTTGGCCATTTCCTTTGCAAACTGTACCTCAGCTTGTTTTACACAGTGGGTAGCTTCCTATCTCTATTAAAGAATACAAAAGAGGTAAAACATTTTTTCCCTCAGTGGCCTTTGGTGGCTCTCTGTGCACTGTAGTTAGAATAATAAAATTAGATCTTAATGGTACTACACTTTTTAAATACTGCAACTGGCTGAAATTTTGTTTTGTTTTTGTTTGATTGGGAGCAGCTCAATAGGAATGTAATTTGTTTTTACTGCAAAGAATGACCTATTTTATTTCTTAAGTTTTAGGCATTTATTTTAGTTTTGAAGTTGAGACAGCATCTTGCTGACCTCAAACTCTCAGTACTCCTACCTCAGCCTCTCAAGTGTTGGGATCCTGTGTACCACCATGCTCAGTGAGCTTTGATTTTGTAACACTGTATTGTATGTTCCTCGCCAGATGTGGCAACATGCTGTTACTATTAGACATCTGTCAGACCATGCCAGTGACTTTGACCTGTGTCTGAGGTCTGAAGAAGCCTATAGAGCTGCTCCATAGAAAGCACACCTACCTGAGCCTCATGAATGAGGACGCTGCCTGGGGCATTGTTTCTCAATCTTCAGTACTTGGTAAACAGTTTCATGTTTGGGCTTTTTTGTGTTCTACCTCTCCATTAATGCGGGTTTTTTTTTTTTTTGTTTTTTCTCTGAGTTATTCCCACCTAAAAGTAGTTAGGAAGAAAACATTGAAATCACTCCCATAGATGAAAACCAATATAAATTTTCATAGATAGAATCTCTGTTAAAAGTTCATAGAGTTAGCCAGGTGTGGTGGCGCACGCCTTTAATCCCAGCACTCGGGAGGCAGAGGCAGGTGGATCTCTGAGTTCAAGGCCAGCCTGGTCTACATAGTGAGTTCCAGGACAGCTGGGGCTACAGAGAGACCCTGTCTCAAAAAGACAAAAAAAAAAAAAAAATAAGTTCATACAGTTAAGTGAACATGTTTCATGTTTAGGCAAGCACTTTGGTAGTTTCTGAATCTGAGAAGGGGAGGGCTAGCATGTCTTGAAGGTAGCATGCACCAGGTTTTATACAGTCATTATTGGGTGCTGTTTTTCCCTTTTGAGATCACACTGCTTATGTGTGTCCATCCCTATAAACCCTTAGATTATATATCACATCTTGGTAACTTTGGCCAGTGAGGAATTACAGAAAAGAGGCAGTAAAATATTTGAGCATTGGCTATATATCCAGGGTGCTAATTCATGATCAAAATTCCATCAGCACTGCTCTAAAGGAGTCTTACTGGGAGATGAACATTTGAGAATGTCAATATTAGAACTTACGAGCAATAAAGTGATGCCTCTGAAACATTCCTGTTCATCATTACTGCTGTGTAGATACGGCCTGACCAGTTCCTTTTTTTTTTGCTATGCTGGGGTTGGAACCCAGAACTTAAAAGGCAAGTGTCCTGCTGCAGCCCCAGCCTGAAATGCTTAGTTTCATATACATAACAATATACTGCTGCCATACTCAACATCATCCTCTTTGCTTTTGTTCTTTTTTTTTTTAACATTTACTTATTTGGAGTGTGCACACATAAACATACCACAGTGCAAGAGTGGAGGTCTGAAGACAACTTACAGGAAGTGTTTGTCTTCTTCCACCACATAGGTATCAGGGATCCAACTTGGGTTGTCAGGCCTGGCAGCCAACTCTCTGAGCCATCTCTCTAGCCTTCTTTTGGTGTTTTGAGACAGGGTCTCCCTACATAGTCCTGGCTGGCCTTGCAGTTGAAATCATCTGGTCTGAGCCTCCAGAATAATGGAATGACATGTGCGACCACACTTGCTTTAAGCTTATTCTCAAGGCAAGTAAATTGGTAAGAGTCAGGCGTGGTGGCACATGCCTTTGATCCTAGCATTTGGGAAGCAGAGGCATCTTTGTGAGTTCAAGGCCAGCCTGGTCTCCATGGCAAATCCAGGCCAGATGTGGCTACAGGAAGACCCTGTCTCAAAAACACCAAAAATAAGTTGGCAGAATTGAACACTAAAAATACTTTTTAAAGGCCTGCCATTGTATGTGCATGAATGTTTTGCCTATGTGTATTTGTGGTACAGTACTGGTAGAGGCCAGAAGAGGGCATTCCATCTGGAACTGGAGTTACAGATAGTTGCTACCATCCTCAGATTGTATATTCTTTTTGTTTTGTCTGATTGTTTATGGAGTTAAACAAGCCCTCCTTCTTGAAGATGAGGAATAACTGGGTTGAAAAATGGGGTGTCCTCTTTTTTCTGAGTTGACAGGGTAAATTGTAGGTTGCCTCATTTAAGGATGAGGAACTAGTATTTCCCTTACCTTTGAAGTTTAAGAAACTTTGAGAGATGGTAGTGTATAGGAATTGACATCAATCCAAGGTCACCAACAGCCACCAACTTTTCCATGGAGAGCACCTTTATTAAAAACAAGTTTTAAGCTGGGCATGGTGGCATAATCTTGGCACTCAGGAGATAGAGGCAGGCAGGTTCAAGGCCAACCTGGTCTACATAGAGAATTCCAGGCCAGCTGGGGCTACAGGGAGACCCTGTCTCAAAGAACAAAAAAAGTTTTAAAGCCTGGTCTATAATCCCAACTACTTGAGGCTGAAGCAGAAAGATCCTAAGTTCAAGGCCTGCCTGGTCAACTTAGGAAGACCCTATCTCAAATATTTTAAAAAAGAGTTGGAGATACATAGCTCTGGTAGAATACTTGCTTAGCCCTAGGTTAAAATCCCTAGGAGAGCTACCAAAAACAAATGTGCTCAGAAACTTTATCTACAAAGTAAATAATTTCAAATTCTAAGGCCAGCTAGAGCTGCATGAGACTTTAGGAAAAAAACCCAAAAAAGGTTGAGTACATATGATAAAGATATAAGAACCTACTCCCACTGTTGAAAAAGTGACTTATGGGGCTGATGGTAAGGTGCAGCTCTTTGACAGAGTATGTATGTATTTATCATATACAAGATCCTGGCTCCATTCCAGGTCACCCAAACAGAATGACTTATTCTTCCCCTGGCACCCTCCCTCACATCTTGAGCTAAAATTTACAATACCAAGCCTTTTTTAGGTGGGGTCTCAAACTTAGGATGGCCTCTAACTCACTATGTAGCCAAACTCTTAACTACTGATCTTGAGAACTGGGATGTGCATCCACAACTGACTTTATGTTGTTATTGGGGCTTGAACTCAGCACTTGCTGCATACAAGGTAAGTACTCTACCACTAAGCTACATTCTTAGCAAAAGACTTCCCCCCAACCCCTGCCCCAGTTTTTCTGTAGCCCAGGCTGGCCTGGAATTCTGTATAACCTGAACTAACTTCAAACTAGTGGCAGTCTTCTTGTTCAGCCTCTTGAGTGCTAGGATTACAGGTATGTGCTGTCACACCCAGCTCTGTTTTGTTTTTGAGAGACTTGCCCTGTAGTTCAGGCTGGCCTTGAACTGGGCACCCTCCTGCCTCAGCCTTTTGAGTGCTGGGATTCCAAGTGTGCGTTTACCACATCCAGCCTACTATTTTAAAGTGAAATAGTGGCAGTTGGTAGGATCACAGTGTTGTACAATCACTTTTACCTAGTTGCAAGACATTCTTCTCATCCTTAAAGTCTTCTTACCCATTAATAGTTACTCCTGCCTAGGTTTAGTACCACACCCTTGTATTCCTAGGCTGACCCAGGAGGATTTCAGCCTGGGCTACAAAGGGAAAGTGTCTCATAAAATAAGTCTGATGTCAGGTGCATACCTTTAAATTCCAGCAGTGGCAGGTGAATTGCTGTAAGTTTGAGGCCAGCCTAGTCTGCATAGTGAGCCATCCAGAGATACACAATGAGATCCTGTCTCTAAATAAATTGGTTAATTAAATAAACCCCAAACCTGGCATGGTGGTTCACACCTGTAATCCCAGTACTCAGGAAGCTGAGGGAGGCAGATTGTTGTAAATTTGAGGCTAGCCTGGTTTACATAGTGAAAACCTGTCTCAGAGATGGCTCGTAGGAGTATTTGCTCCTGCAGAAGACCCAAGTTAATTCCCAGCACTCACACCAGGTGGCTCACAACAGTATAGCTCCAGCTCCAGGAGATCTGATATCCTCTTGTGAGCTCCATGGGCACCTACACTCAAGTGCACAAACCCACACATAAATAAGAATAAATCTTTTAAAAAACAAAACTCAAAACCAACAAAGCCTAATGAACCTAGTCACTTCCCACTGTGCCTTTCTCTCAAACTCTGGTAACCAATAATCTGCCTTTGGACTACCAATCTTGTGTATCTCATATAAAGGGAATCATGTATATATGACCTTATGGTCTAATTTTATCTCTGCATGTTTTTGAGGTTTCTCTGTAACATCATATGTGATGGTTTATATTGTCAACTTGACAAGATTTTCTAGATTAACTGAGGTAGTAAACCCCCTAATGGTGGGATACACCCTTTCTACAGGCTGGAGTCTTTGAATAAAATGCAGAAAGTTGGGCACTGCTTCCTGACTGCAGATGCAACATGACTAGAAGCCTTATGCTCTTGCCGTCATGCCTTCCCTGCCACAGTGGCCTATACCCTTAAACTATGAGCCAAAATAAACCCACCCTTAAGGTGCTTTTGTTTGGTAGCTGTTTAAAATAGTATTAAGACTTTTTGTTGGTTTGTGGAGTTTTTTATTTTTTTGTGGCTGTGTAGCCCTGACTGGCCTGGAACTCACAATGTCAACCAGGCCGGTCTCCAATGTGTCATGGCAGGTTACTGTGTAGAGGTCAGAGGACAACTTGTAAAAGTTCTATCATGTGGGTCTTGGGGATTTAGCTCAGGTCTCAGGTTCGGTGACAAGCAATACCTTTACCCACTGAGCCATCTTGCCAGCCATTGTCCAATATTTTATCATAGCAGTGAGAAAAGGAATACCGCCCATGTCAGAACAAAGGTTCTTTTTAATGCTGAGTAACATTCCATTGCATGTATATGTGCCATATGGTGTTTGTCCATTCACTCATCTGATTGATTGGGCTTGTTTCCATTTTTTTTGGTACTGGCATGGAACTAAGGGCCTTGTGCATGCTGGGCAAGCACTATCACTAAACTATATCCCCAGCCCTACTGCAACCTTCTGACTAGGAACAAAGAAATTTGAGTGTATTTTCAGTTTTTTTTTTTTGTTTTTTAAAAAGATTTAATTATGTATGTGTGTGTATGAGTGTATGCACATGTGAGTGTAGGTGCCTGTGGAGTTCAGAGACATCAGATGTCCCCTGGTGCTACGGTTAGAGGTAGCTGTAAGCTGTCTTACATGGGCGTTGGGAGCCAAACTCCGGTCATTTGCAAGAGCAATATGCGCTCTTAACCACTGAGCTGTGGAATCACTGCCTTATACAGTATATTTTAAGATATGTGTGTGTGTCTATTTGTATACCACATGTGTGTTGAACACTGTTGGGCTCAAGTGATTATTCTGCCTTACCCTCTGGAGTAGCTGCACCACTTTGCTTGGCTTCCATTTTTAAACTGGATTGTCTTTCTGTTGCTAAGTTGCAGGAGTGTGTGTACATGTGTGCATGTAGAGGCCAGAGGCCAACCTAGGATATCATTCCTCAGGAACCAACCTATCTTCGGGGCAGTATCACTCATTGGCCTGGAGCTTACCAAGTAGGCTAGGCTGGCTGGAGACCAGGGATCCACCTGTCTCTGCCTCCCCAGCACTGGAATTATAAGCATGCACTATGACACTTGACTTCATATAGGGGTTTGAGAAATCAAACTCAGATCTTCTTGTGTGTGTGACAGGCATGATAACCCACTGAATCATCTCTCCATCTCAGCTCTTTAAATTACCCTGTGGAATAAGACACCAGATATATGATGTGCAAATATTCTCTCCCATTCTGCGGATCATCTCAAACATATTTATAGGGCTGGGCGTGGTGGCGCAAGCTTGTAATCCCAGCACTTGGGAAGCAGAGGCAGGCAGACTTCTGAGAGTTTGAGGCCAGGTTGGTCTACATCGCGAGTTCCAGGCCAGCTGGGGCTACAGGAAACCCTGTCTAAAAAAAAAAAAAAAGAAAAAGAAAAAAAATTTTTTACATTTGTTCAAATAAGGTCATTATTTTTCTTCTGAACTTGTGCTTTTGCTATGTTAAAAGTCATCAAGTGTGTTTTTTGAGACAGGGTCTCACCATGGCCTTGGCTGGCCTAGAACTTGCTATATAGACCAGGCTGCCCTTGAACTCACAGAGATCCACCTTGTCATTAAACTTTTTTTCTTTTCCGGAGCTGAGGACCAAACCCAGGGCCTTGTGCTTGATAGGCAGGCGCTCTACCACTAAGCTAAATCCCCAGTCCCT